AATATGTATTGCATTTCTAAATATCAACATTACATTGGTGTACTTGTTCTAGTTTTGTACGTTAAAAATGACTTTTTCTATTCTGGTGATATGAAGTATACATAAAGTGAGTTTTTATCTAGTATCAGGTATATTAATACTTATGGCTCTTTTGAATATTTTTGGTTAAATCCTTCCTTGGCCTGGATTTGATGAGCTCTTTATTTCTCTTGTGTAGGCATATGCTATAGGGTGGAACTACAGAGTAATGGGTGTGGGATATACAGTTATGATATCTTACTTTTTATTACATGAATACTAATATGGTATAAGTGTATTCTGTATGATTTTAGGCCTCTGTGCTGTTGATGTTATGGATAACCTTTAAAAGAATTCTTTCTTTAAGAACTTCTTTTTAATTGGATTTAATGATATGTGATTTTTGATTCTGAGAGATCTCTACATTATTATGCAAAAAGATTCAAGGGATGTGAATGTTAAAGGTGATAGATGATGATTGGAATCAGTAATTTAAGATTGATATCAAAGAACAACGTTAAAAAAGGCGTTTTGTTTTAGTTAAAACCAGAGGCCGAAAGCAACATATAGTATCATTTGAGGTGTTCTACTTTTGATGTTTACTTAGTACATTAAAGCCCCAAAAAACATCATTCACTTTTGTTGGTGTATCAGTCAGGGTTCCCCAATGAAACAGAACCAAGAAGATACTATAACCTATACATATACACACACACATTTATGATTTATTTTAAGAAAGTGGCTCACACGAATGTGGGGACTCCAAGTCTAAAATCTGTAGGGTAGGCTGGCAGACTGGAGATAATGCTGCTGTTGGGAGGTAGACTTTCTTCTTATCCAGAACCCACAGTTTTTGCTCTTAAGGCCTTCAACTTGTGGGATGAGGCCCACCCACGTTATTGAGGATAATTTCTATTTCTTGAAGTCAACTGATTGTAGGTGTTAGCAACATCTACAGAGTACCCTCACAGGAACACCCAGATTAGTGTTTGATTAAATAACTGGGTACTATAGCATAGCTAAACTGACACATGAAATTAACCATCACAGTTGGTCATATGTATATTTTTTAATATTTATGTTATGAGTCACAGAAATGCCTAGGTTCAAACTATCACCACAGAACATATTATGCAACTTCCTTGAAATGAAAATTATAAGTTTCAGAGATGATAGCTTATATCCATTTGTTCATTAACAAGTATTAATTGAATTCTCTGTATATGCCAGTACTGGAAAATAATGGCATGCAAAACCATGAATGGACTCTACTTTCGTGTAGTGTCTCATGATTAATGTTGATGCTTAGGAAAGAGGCAAAAAGTGGTTGTTAACCCAAAGACAAACTCATTGGAAAAAAGCCCAATTTTCCTCTGATTTGCCTTATTTAAATTTTTATTACATAAATCTTATATCTCAATGTCTAAAGTTGTCAACTTTCTCTTTAATTAAATAATTTATATTATTTCAATATTTTTCTTTAGAGATTTCTGAGAATGGATTTGGCAACTTTTCGTATTTTAGTTTGTTGGTACTGTGGAACTGTTCTTAAAGCACTGTGCCCTTTAATCTGTAAGTAGAAACTCCTCTGTGTATTTACCTACTGCCCTAATGTTTATTGATTAAATGCCATAATGATAATAATAAAAATTCTTTTTAAAATAAGAACTTATTATATGATAGATACTTTACAAACTTTCTAATTCCTTCAGTCATAGTTCCATTTTAGAGATGAAGAAACTGACATTCAGAGAAGCTAAGTAACTTGCCTATGGATACACAACCAGTAAGTGATAAAACAGGATTCAAACTCAATTCTCTCTGAATCTGAAGCCTATGGTTTTTTCCCACTCCACTCAGCTTGTCTTTGTATCAAACTTCTTGGCTAGGCTACTGGATCTCTTTTCTGTTTTCCTCTCCCTTCTTGCTTTCTTTTGGATTGATGTGGTAATTAATTTTATGTGTCAAGTTGGCCACGAAGTGCCTAGATACTTGGTCGGACATTCTGGGTATGTCCATGAGGGTATTTCTGGATGAGATTAACATTTGAATCAGTAGACTGAGTAAAGCAGATTGCCCTCCCCAGTGTGGGTGGGCCTCATCCAATTTGTTGAAGGTCTGAATAGAACAAAAAGGATGAGTAAGAAGGAACTCTTTCTGCCTGATTGCCTTTGAGCTGGGACATCGATTTTTTCCCCCACTTTCAGACTCAAACTGAAGGATCAGCTGTTCCTGGGTCTCAGACCTGCTAGCTTTTAGACTGGAACCATATTATTGGCTCTCCTAGTTCTCAGGCCTTTGGACTTGGACCAGAATACACCATCAGCTCTTCTGGGTCTCCAGCTTGCAGACTGCAGATCTTGGGACTTGCCAGGCTCCATAATTGTATGAGCCAATTTCTTTCTCTCTCTCTCTGCACATGCATGCACACCCACACCCACACCCACACACACACACACACACACATACCACACCCACCCACCCCCTATTGGTTATGGTTCTGTTTCTCTGGATAACCTTAACCAATACAACTAATAGTTTTTTATTATTCCGTTTTACTTCTAATGATTTAGAAGTTATATACTTTCTATTTATTTGTTACTTTAGAAGTTATGATAAACATAATTATCAAAATTTCAAGTTAATCAATACCTTTAACCTCTTCTGGATAATATAGAGACTTTAGAACATTTTAATCCCATTACCCCTACTCCTGACACATAGTTGTTAATTTATGTATATTTTTTAATCCCATGAGACTTTATTATTACCCTTTTTATATTTGATATTTATGTACATATACTCACATATTTGTCACTATTTGCTGTTGATTCTTGCATGTTAGATCTTATATCTGGGAACTCATTCCTGCTACCTATAGTTTATTCTTTAGCATTTCTTCTAGAGAGTATCTGCTAATGACAAACTCTATTTCTATTCTGAAAAAGACTTTATTTTGTGTTCATTCTTTAAACATTTTGCTGGGTATAAAATTCAAGATTAGCAGTTATTTTTGTCATCATATTTAAGACCTCATTCCCCTATTTTCTAGGTTTCAGTAGTGTTTTTGTGATGTCAGTTATCAGTCTGACCTTCATGTATGTATTTATATATGTATACATACATGTATATGGCTATGCATATATATATATGTGTGTATTTATAGCTTTGAGGCGTATTTTGCATATCATATAATTTATCCATTTCAAGTGTATAATTCAATGAATTTTTAGCAAATTTAGCCAGTTATGCAGCCATCACTGTTGATCAGTTTTAGGCCATTTCTATCACCTGAATAAGATCTCTCCTGTCCATTTACTGTTAATCCCCATCCCCCGCCTTTACCCCAGATAACAATAATCTATTTTTTGTCTCTATAGATTTTACTTTTCTTAAAATTTCGTATAAATTAAATCATACAATATGTGGTCTCTTGTGTTAATATTTTTTCACTTTGCATAATATTTTTGAGGTTCATGCATACTGAAACATGTATTAGTAATTTGTTCTTTTTGTTGATGAATAGTATTCCAGTATATGGATATGCCGAATTTGTCCGTTTATCAGTTTATAGACATTGTTTTTTCCAGTTTTTAACTATAAATGTGAATAATGCTGCTAAGAGCATTCATGTGTTAGTCTTTGTGTGTATATGTGTTTTCATTTCTCTTGGGCAGATACCCAAGAGTAGAATTGCTCAGTCATTTGGCAAATTTATTTTTAACTTTTTATGAGACTGCCTCACTGTTGTTCAAAGTGCTTGCACTGTTTTATATTTCCGCAAGCAAAGTATGAGGATTCCTGTTTCTTCACATCCTTGCCAACATTTGTTATTATCTGTTATTTTAAAAAAATTATTATAACCTTCCTAGTGGGTATGAAATTGCTTCTCACTGTGGATTTAATTTGCATTTCCCTAAACTAATGAGTTTGAGCATCTTTTTATGTGCTTACTAGCCATTCATATATCTTCTTTGGTGGAATGTTTTTTCAAAAATTTTATTCACTTTTTGATTGAGTTGTGTGTCTTCTTATATACAAAGAGTTCTTTGAATATTTTTTATACAAGTCCTTTATAAGATATATGATTTGCAAATATTTTCTCCAAGTCTGTTGCTTGTCTTGTATCTTTTGAAGTGCAAAAGATTTGACTTTTGATGAGGTCTAATTTATCAAGTTTTTTGAAATGAGCTGTGTTTTCAGTGTCATATCTAAGAAATTATTGTCTAACCCAAGGTCTTGAAGATAATCACTTGTGTTTTCTTTTAAAAGTTTAATTGTTTTAGTTCTAACATTTAAGTCTGTGATACATTTTGTGTTAATTTTTGCATATAGTATGAGACAAAGGTCTAACTTCATCTTTTGGCATGTGGATATACAGTTTTCCTAGTACCATTCATTAAAAAGGCCATCCTTTCCCTCATGAATTTCCTTTGTACTTTTGTTGAAAATCAGTTGACCATAAATATAAAGATTTATTTCTTTACTCTCAATTCCATGTCTTGTGATCTGTATGTCTATCTTTGTGCTGGTCCCACATTGTATTGATAACTACTGAAGTAGGCTTGTCTTAAATTTTGAAATTGGTATGTATAAGTTCTCCAACTTTGTGTGTGTGTGTGAGGAAGATCAGGCCTGAGCTAACATCTGTCACCGATCTTCCTCTTTTTGCTTGAGAAAGATTGTTGCTGACCTAACATCTGTGCTAATCTTCCTCTATTTTATGTGGGATGCCACCACAGTATGGCTTGACGAGCAGTGCTAGGTCTGCACCCAGGATCCAAACCTGTGAACCTGGGGCTGCCAAAGTGGAGCACACGAACTTAACCACTATGCCACCAGGCTGACTCCCCAGCTCTTTCTTTTTCAAAATTGTTTTGGCATTCTACATAAAGTTTGCAATTTTAAATAAATTTTAGGATCATCTTCTGCCAAATTTCTTATGTCAGTTTCTGACATCTTCTGTCAATTTCTGCCAAAAGGCTGCTGAAATTCTGGTGGGGATTGTGTTGAATACATGAATCAACCTGGAAAGAGTTGCTGTCTTAACGATATTGAACTTTCCACTCCATGAACCTGGTATGTGACCTACTTTTGAAGGTAATTTCCCCCCACCCCCTAGTTGCTCTTAAGGTCTTTCTCTTTCCTTTTGGTTTTACGCAGTTTCATGATGATGTGTTTAAGTATAGATTTTCTTCTATTTATATTGCTTGGGAATTTTTGTGTTCTTAAATATGTGAATTGGTGTCTTTCATCAATTCTGGAAGTTTTGTTGATGTCTTTAAATATCATTTTTCATTGAATCTAAAATACCATCACTTGTAAGATGCATCATTTGTATACCATGAAAGAGAAAAAAATACTACTAGTTCTTTAATAATAGTATGATGTGTTGTATGAATTGGTCATTACTGACCCTGGTTGCTTAGAAATTTGTCATTTTCCCAAAGGATTTGGCAAACATTTTCTCAGTTGCATTGCTCTACTCATAGTCTTTTACATGTATCTCTGCAAGAAAACAGCACAATTTCATATACTTGTATCTTTACTTCTTAGGTTCTATAAGTAATTAGTTATTGCTCTGCAAGACGTTTGAGTCAGTTCAGATTGCTATAACAAAATACCATAGACTGAGTGGCTTAAACAACAAACATTTGTTTCTTACAGTTCTGAAGGCTAGGAGGTCCAAGATCAAAATACTGGCAGATTCAGTGTCTGGTGAGGGTCCTTTTCCTGGTTTGCAGATGGCCACCTTCTTGCTGTATCCTCACACGGTGCCGAGAAAGGTCATCTCTCTCATGTCTCTCTCTCAAGACCGAATTACTTCCCAAAGGCCCTACCTCTAAATACCATCAAATTGGGATTAGGACTTCGACGTAGGAACTTTGGTGGAACACAGACATTTAGCCCATAGCACAAGAATGTAATGACCGCTCATTTGTGGCCAGTGTTTCAATTATAAATATTTGATTCACTAATGTCAGAGTGTGTGCCTCTCTGTATATACAATAGCTTTTAAAAAACTTTTTTGAAGTACAATATATGTTGCAGTAACTTCTCAATGGCAAATCATAGTTTTTAAAAATTTGCCTTTTAAAGGTATACAACATGATGCTTTAATATATGTATACATTGTGAAATAAGTGCCACAATCAAGTTAATTAATGGATCCATCTCATATAGTTGCCGTTTTTTTCTTTCGCGGTGAGAACACTTAAGATCTACTCTGTTAGCAAACTTCAAGTATATAATACAGTATTATTAACTATAATGCTGTACATTAGATCCCTAGAACTTATTCAGCTTATAATTGAAAGTTTGTACTCTATGACCAACATCTCCTCATTTCTCCCACCCCACCCCTGGAAATCACTATTCTACTCTCTGGTTTTATGGCTTTGACTTTTTTATATTCCATATATGGGTGTTATCATACAGTATTTGTGCTTTTCTGTCTGACTTATTTCACTTAGCATAATGTCCTCCAGGTTCATCCATATTGTTGCAAAAGGCAGGATTTCCTTCTTTTTATGGCTGAATAATATTCTATTGTGTATGTATATGTGTGTGTATTTGTGTATATGTATATATGTACATCACGTTTTCTTTATCCATTCATCTGTCAATGGACACTTAGGTTGTTCCCAGGCTATTGTGAATAGTGCTGTAATGAAAATGGGAGTGCAGATATCTCTTTGAGATAATGATTTTATTTCCTTTGGATGTATATCCAGAAGTAGGATAGCTGGATCATAATTTCATATTTCCATTTTTAGTCTCTTGAGGAACTTCCATACTTTTTTCCATAATAGCTGTATCAATTTATATTCCAACCAACAGTGTACAAGGGTTCCCTTTTCTCCATACCCTCACCAACATTTGTTTTTTCTTGTCCTAACAGATATGAGATGATATCTCATTATGGTTTTGATTTGCGTTTGCCTGATGATTCGTGATGTTGAGCACCTTTTCATATACTTGTTGGCCATTTGTATGTCTTCTTTGGAAAAATGTCTGTTCAGATCCTTCCCTATTTTTCATTCTAGTTATTTGTTTTTTTGCTATTGAGTAATATTAGTTATTTATATATTTTGGATATAAACTTCTTATCAGATATATGATTTGTGAATATTGAGTTTTAAATTTCAGTCGTATTTTTCATTTCAAGAAATTCCATTCGATTCTTTTTCAAATCTGCTTTTACACTCTTTGTAGTTTCCTATACCTGCAGTATTTTCAAGCAAGCTATTTATTTTTTTAAAATGTAGTAAGCATGATTTTATAATTTGTATCTGATAATTATAATTTGAAGTCTTAATGAGTCTCTTTCAGTTGTTTTTCATTTATTCAGGCTTTTGCCCATGGTGCTTTGTTTCCTTGTATGCGTGGTTGTCTTTCTCATTGCCCTTGCAAAATTATTTAGAGAGTCCTGGAGGCTTGGAATCAAACTGCCTTCCTATATGGAGGATTTACATTTGCTTTTGTGAAAGAGCCTAGGATCATTTCAACCCAAATCACAGCTTGAGCTTCCCTAATCAATGAAGGTAAGGAGAACCTGGTGGGCAAATCCCTATAGGGGCCAGCCTGTGGCCAAAGATTCTCAGGACTGGAAGGCTGGGAGTTTTATGGTTGCTGGTCTTACATTTAAGTCTTTAATCCAGTTTGAGTTAGTTTTTGTGAGTGGTATAAGATAGGGATCCAATTTCATTCTTTTGCATTTGAGAACAGAGGTCCCCCTCTTTCCCTTTCCTTTTTTCCCTTTCTCCTCTTTGTACCAAGGTAACCTTCACTGAAGACCTAGGGGTAGGGTTGGGAATGGGGAAGACAGGTTTCATTCTAGGTATTGTCTTTGAAGTCCAACTTAATATGGAGAGGGTTTTCTCTTAGACATCCCACCTTAGGTGGGGCTCTTTGCCTTTGATGTTTCAGGATCGAAGCTTAAATTTACCAACTGGCAAATGTCTTTAAGGCAAAATTGGCTTAGGTATTTGATGTTCTGCTTACTATAGAGATAGCACTGGGTTTTATATTTCACTCAGAATTTGGCCTGACAGTTCCCCATTATCACGTTAACTCAGTACTTTAAGGTGATTGCATTTTTAAAAAATGTATTTTCAGTTTTCAGCAGGAGGGATGGTCTCAACTAGTGATTCTCAGCTGGGGATGATTTTCACTCTCACACCAAGGGACATTTAGCAATGTCTGGAGACATTTTTGGTTCTTAGAATTGGGGTTGGAGGAGCTACTGGCAGGTAGTTGGTAGAGACCAACAATGTTTACAAACATTCTGCAATCATAGGAAAGTCTCCTGCAACAAAGAATTATCCAGCCCCAAATGCCAATAATACCAAGGTCTAAATAACTTACTGAATAAGTTACTGAATTTCCATTACTGAAAATAGAAGTTCAAGAAGATAGTTTATAATTTTAAAATTTGGAGGTTTGAATGAATTGTCATACTTCCACAAATTTTATTTTATACTAATTCATATCAAGTTTCATATTCCAACAACAGAAAATTTTCTAAACCAGTTTTTATTTATAAGTATTACTATTAAGATCACATTTTTTCATCTAGCATGACTTATTCTGGTACTTGTGGGCAGAGTTGAAACTAGGGTGAGGTAAGCAGTGCATTTGCTTCAGGCATAAAATACACAATGAACAAAATATCAGAATTTTAAATAAAGACAGAGTCACTAAAGTGCTGTGCTATATTGGAACCTAAGGAAAAAAGAAAAATCAGTATTACTAACTCTATTTGTTTAAAATTTTGATATTTTGTTCATCATAATATGTTTTTGGCAATATTTTTGATTGTTTAAAATATTGCATTAAAATATTTATCTTGATTGCTGAGTTTTTTGGCACCCTCTTCAATTTGTACCCAAGGTAAGTGTCTTAGTCCTCGCCCTGCTTGTCGGTGAGACCTTCTGGCTAGGGAGCTAACATAGGATGGAGGGGCTGGGGCTGACACTAGATTTTATTTCTAGGGCAGGACAGATGCTAGGATTGCTGTTCTAAGATAGGGATGAGGGAAGTTTGAGGGACAATGGCGTGATGTTTAAATTTTCAGTTATCTCTAGTTATACTTTGAGTAAAGACTCTTGTTCAGGAGAGTCAAGATAAAGTTGCAAGGGTCCCATAGATATACCAAGCATAGCAGTGAGAAACAGAGTTGGCAATTCTAATCTAAGACAGTAGGCATATAGGAAGCAGTTGATTGATGTCTTTAAGGGAGGAAATATGGCCACCAGACTTAAGACCATAGCTGTTAGAATTAGGGTTGTTATTTCTGCTGAGGGAGATTGAAAGATCATGGCTTAACCTGTTGTTCCTAGCAACAAAAGGGTAATGAGAACCTATTCTTTCTGACTGGGGTACATAAATGGCAAGGGAAACCTCAGAAACTTGGGTTTGGTAGCCCTGTGTATCACATGGGAGGAGCAAGGCCCATGGAAACCAGTTAGTCAGCCTTTACCATCCTCACCGCCTGTGCTTCCCCAGCTCAGTGTGGTGAATGACTAAAGGATAAGAGGTACTAAGTTGGCATTGAAGCAAATTAGGTACTTCTTACCTCAGTCAAAATGAACTCAGATACAAGGCTAGGACAGAGCCTGCTGGTGGAGGGGGAGGTCATTGGTGGACCCTTATGGGGAGTTGGAGAAACCTGAGGTAGGAGAAATGTGAGAACTAATGTTGGAAAGTGTTTTGAAGCATTTATTTCTAAACTGTTAAAGTGAAAAACCCGTTTTCTTCTGTTAAACCTGCCAGATGTGTGTCATCGTAAGCACTCATGTACCTACATGTACAGTAGAATAGGGTGACTCTCTTCCTTTACTGATGTTTCCATGCTTTTTTCCCCAGAATCTCCTAATTGCAATCGTATCACAGCAATTTTATTGTATTTTCCAGTTGGCAAAAAGTGTCCACTTGTGAGTGTGTGTATGTTTTAAACTTTTTTGAAAGAAAAAAATTCTTCTTTGTCCCTGAATGCACATTTCTAGGATATGTTCTTCTTGTAGATTTTAGCACAACTCTACTAAAACCAATAAAGGTCACTTTTGAGTTGTGTCAGA